GCCGGATACCGGCAACAAAGAGACAGTCTTAAGCCAGAAGTCTCAAGGGCAAAAGCCAAGAAAAATGGTTTAGGGTCTAGGATTCGGGGTTTAGGGTTTAGGGTTACCCTGGCCCGAAACCTTCCTAAACCCTGAATGCTGAAGGTGTTCATGTTTTTGGACTCTCACATCATGAGCTGGAACCTTCAGACCCGTCAACCCCAGGGCTTCAGGGAAACCCCAACCCTCAACCCTCAACCCGGGTTTAGGGTTTTGGTCTCAGGCTTTAGGGTTCAGGGTTTAGGGTCCCAAATCCGGTCGCTGCAGCATTTTTTTTTTCTGTCTTGTTGCCTTGCTGTTCCGCCAGCAGAGACTCAAGCAAGACAGGTGCGGGGGAGAGGGGGGGGGGGGGGGGGGGGGGGCTGCTTCTAAGGGTTTAGCTTTGAGGGTGTAGGGTTAGGGTTATACCGCCACCTGACTCAACCCTACTCGAGGGTGTGTACATATATAGAGAGAGAGAGGTCATATAGGAGAATATGATTAAGGGTCCGTTCCAGTTCTAGTGGTCCTTGTCTCCCTTATAATACTCAGAGGGTCCAAGTACCCTACATCTATACTTTTGGCTTTTGGGTTCTTTTTTGTTGAGATTTGCAGTGTCGATAGCGCCCCTAAACCCTGAAGGTCTGAAACCCTTAACAAGCGGACCATGGAGCCTGGGTTATGGTTTACAATGGGGCGGGGGGGGGGGGGGGGGGGGGTTATGGATTCGGTGTTAGGGTCAAGTGTTTTAGGGCTTTGGGGCTTACACTTATTGTGTAAGGATTTGGGTTCTGGTTTGCTATGGTTCTTGTGTTGTTGGGCTTGGCTAGACGAACTAACCCCACACCTTACACTCAGACAGCAAGCACATCGAAAAATATCCACCCAAAACCCTCAAGCCCTCGTAATACCCTTTTCTTGCCTTTCTTATAAGGTTACGCTACGTAGATCCGACCCTAAACCCTAAACCCTCCACCCTAAACCCTAAACCCTAAGTAATTAACCCCAAGCCCACGGCCCTCCCTAAACCCGAGGCCCCACAGCCTAAACCCTAAACCCTAATTACTTGGTAGCCCAGTGGTACCCTTTTCCCTTTTGTGTGTCCAACCAAGGTTCCCTTATAAAGACAACAGCTCAAAGAAGGGCACCCTTATTCTAATCTGGTTACTGAGCTACAAGCCTGTATTTTGGTGGTTGTCAAAATTATGGTCCCTTTCTGGATCCCTATTAGAATACGGCACCGAATATCTATATCTATAATAACTATAATATGTATATATATATATGTATATATAGGGTACCCCAGGGTACCCCAAAGGGATGATAATTATGACAGCCATCCATTTGGCCCTCAGGGCTTCAAGCTGTAGGCTTGAACATACGCTTTTGACATGACTTGGAGCTTCTCCGACTGGCATACAGCCCAGCGAACAAGGGTTAAGGGTTTAGGGTTCAGGGTTTAGGGTTCAGGGTCTAGGGCCGGGCTTCACGATACCCCCCATGCACCCCTAGCTGTCTGAAGGTTCAGGGTTTGGGGTAAACCCTGACCACTAACCCTAAACCTTAAACCCTAAACCCTTAACCCCAAACCCTAAACCCTAAACCCTAAACCCTAAACCCCAAACCCTAAACCCTAAACCCTAAACCCTAAACCCTAAACCCTAAACCCTAAACCCCTTGCAAGGTGTTGCAAGCATGATCATGAGTGCGGAGGAGACTTTGCCTCCCTGCGTCCAGGCTTTAAAAGACCCTGACTCCGAGGCTCCAAATACCCACATGGGTAGTTCTTAGGATTTGGGGTTTAGGGTTTAGGGTTTAGGGTTTAGGGTTTAGGGTTTAGGGTTTAGGGATAGGTCCCTTTTTGGGGTCCTTGTTTTCAGGGTGCCGGTGTTGAGCGGTATCGTATTGGGAACCCAGAAGGACCTTCTCACATTCTGTGGCTGCAGATCCCCCACAGCCATCCTAACTGTGTTTGGGCCGCACAACTGCGCATGTAGGGGTGGTTGGACCAGAGGGCAAACTCGAGTTGTCTAAGCTCAACCCCAAACCCATGCTTAACCCTGGACCCTAAACCCTAAACCCCAAACCTTAAACAGTCCTAAACCCTAAACCCTTAACCCTTCCTGCACTTTCTGACTTCAGTAGGGATGGAGGTGCCAGGGCCCGAGCGCCTCTCCTAAGTTGACCTCGAGGGCCCTTGTGCTTTCATGTTGAGACCAGGTGTTTAGGGTTTAGGGTTTAGGGTTTGGGGTTTAGGGTTTAGGGTTTAGGGATATTTGCTGGGGTTGATTTGGGAACACAATTTGCAGCTCTCTGGGCACCCATATATGACCCCCAAATACTCCCGCACACAACTCCTTGTTTCCGGTTTAGGGTTTAGGGTTTAAGGTGCAGGGTGGCAAACGTTGCAGATGGTACGTACATGTCCACATAAACCCCGCCCACCCCCACCCCCCCCCCCCCGGCCAACGATCCCATGTTT